TAGGCGGTGTTTTGCAGATTCTACATTATTCTTTAGCATTGCATAGTATTCCATTGTGTGTATGTACCATAGTTTGGTTATCCATTCCTCAGCTGATGGACATCTAGGTTGTTTCCATGTTTTGGCTATTGTAAATAGTGCTGCGGACATCTCATTTCTTGACTGCTGCTTTTTGTAGGTGTTGATTGTGGACCCAAGTAACATGAAGTGTTTGACAACTTCAGTCTTTTCTCCATTTATCATGATGCTACTTACTGGTCCAGTTGTGAGGATTTTTGTTTTCTTTGTGTTGAGGTATAATCTATATACAGGCTGTAGTCTTTAATCTTCATCAATAAGTGCTTCAAGTCATCTTCACTTTCAACAAGTAAGGTGTGTCATCTGCATATCACAAGGTGTTAATGAGTCTTCCTCCAATCCTGATTCTGCATTCTTCATATACTCTGACTTCTTAGATTATTTGCTTAACGTACAGATTGAACAAGTACGGTGACAGGGTACAACCCTGATGTACTCCCTTCCTGATTTTAAACCATGCAGTATCCCCTTGTTCTGTTCAAGTGACAGCCTCCTGGTCTATGTCCAGGTTCCTCATGAGCACCATTAAGTGTTCTGGAATTCCCATTCTTCTTAATGTTATCCATAATTTGTTGTGATATACAGAGTCAAAAGTGCCAAAACATATTCACAAAGTGTCCCTGGCAGTTCTTCCTGGGCTTTGAAACCCAGGTTTCCTGTTGCATTGGCCAGATCTTCTGAATTCATTTGCTTTTTCAGCTGGACAAGCTGGTCTCACACATTATGGTCTTTCTAGGAACATTGTGTTATTAAGAGCAGTGATTATAGGTCTTGGCAAATACTGTGAAGAAACTTTCGCCCTCTTGGTTCAGTTTGGGCATTGTGGTGGTAGTGCCTTCTCATCCTATGCTGGTCCATCTTCTGGGGCCCCCAGGGTTGACAAGGTCCAGCACTCTACCTGCAGGGGGCTCAGGCATTCCTAGGAAGCCCCCTAGGAATTGTCTAAGTCTTAGACTTGGCTGGAAGAGAAGAAGGAAATCAGAAAATCAGGAGGGAAAATGTAGGAATACCAGCCCTAAAGGCAACAGTTATAAAATGTTCTCTCAGAGTTGCCTGAGTGCCAGTTTACAGTACAATCATTGTATACTGATATAATTGGTGTGTTCCTGGTAGGTGATTTCACACTAAAAACTCTAAGGAAGCAGAATGTGTGCAGTAGCTCTCAAATGTGAATGAGAATCAAGATCACTAGATTCCCTGCCCCCACCTCCAGGGAGTCTGATTCAGTGGGACTGAGACCCAGGTGGTTCAAGTACAGAGGGTTTGAGGCCCACACTTAGAGAAACACTGCTATAGGCATTTGAAGGGTGAGCCAGAGATGAGTTATCTCTCCCCTCTCCATCCCATTTCCAGTAGACCCTGAAAAGAGAAGTGTGAGTGGTTAGGCCAGTGTGTTAGGTAAGGAAGATGCAGTATTGGTGACTTCTCAACAAAATATGAATCTGCCGTCCTCCTCTGAGCCTGGAGTTCATCTGTACCTCCTAAACTCTGGTTCCTTTCAGGTAGGAGCCTCATGGTGTTCATGCCAAGAGGCAGGCCTTGTAATTGAACAGTAGTAAATGAAGATGTGGTAGGCAAAGCCCTGGTGGCAGAGTGAAAATGAGCAGTGCCTGAGCTTCAGAGAGGTGACTGCCCATGCCACTATAAGCCCCCTCTTCATTCACCACTGTTAAAATAAAGCTAGCTGGTGCCTCTAACATGCTGTGCTAAATGCTGAAGTGTGTTCTCTCTCTTATACTGTAGCAGCCATATAAGGTAAGTGTGGTTCTTATTTTTATTGTACAGATATGTTTACAGAGTTTTTAAGTAGCTTGCCCAATGTCACATAGATGGCAAGTGGTGGAACCCAACTTGAGATCTGACATTCTGACCCCAGAGCCCAGGCACTTGATTGTCTCTGGTCTCTGTCAGAGCTGACCATCAGCCTGTGGCAGATGCAGGTCTTCCCTTTTAGTTCAGCCTCCTCTGCCTGTCTTTTTGAAACTTCAGTGCATTCCACACCTTTCAGAAAAGATGGACAAGAGAAACAAAAAGGATCAAATCCTATCATGTTACTTCTCCCCCCATCTCTGGTAGATTTATTGACTGAAACTAAGTTTTTGTATTGTCAGGGGAATTTGGTTCCCCCTGACTTGATTTTTGCTGTTTAAACTGCTTTATTGAAATATAATTTATATAGTATTTAATTTACCCATGTAGAATGTAAAATTCAGCAGTCTTTAGTATAGTTAAGATATACACCATTATCCCTAAAAGCCCATAGCCAATCCCCCACCTCTCCAGTCCTCCCTACAGCCCTATGAAACATTAAATCTGTGTCTCTCTATAGATTTGTCTATTCTTCTGGGAATTTAATATAATTGAAATCATACAATATGTTGTCCTTTGTGATAATGTTTTCAGTGTTCATGCATGTTGTTGTTGTTGTTATGTGCTGTCAAGTCGGCCCCGACTCATAGCGACCCATGTTGTAGCATTTATCAGTACTTAATTTTTTTTCTTGACATATAATATTCCATTGTATGGATAACACTATATTTTGTTGATCCATTCATTAGGTTATGGATATTTGGGTTGATTCTGAATATTTCTGACTTAATTGTTGACAAGTAATTTAACATTTACTATGTTACTCAGTCTTTTCTAGATTTTTTATTTTTGTTGTTGATTGTTAAGATTATTGGAATAATTGGGATTATAAAAGGTTAAGAGTTCCCCTAACCAGTTTTTCCTGCTCTTCCTCTTTTAAGTTCATCTTTTAAGTTCACTTAAGGACCTACTGTATGTATTGTTGTTGTTAATTGCCGTCGAGTCGTTTCCGACTCATAGCGACCCCATGCACAGCAGAACGAAACACTGCCCGATCCCACGCCAGCCCCACAATCCCTGCTATACTTGATCCCATCATCACAGCCACCGTATCAATCCATCTCGTTGAAGGCCTCCCCCTCTTTCGTCGACTGTATGTATAGCAGCTGTTAACTCATACATCTCACAATTCTACCATGAGATCTGCACTGTATTCATTTTCCCAGACAAAAGACTTAAAGTATAGAGAGGTGAAATGAAATGCTTGTCCAACGTCAAACCATTAGTATATAGTGGAAGTAGGATTTGAACCAGGCTTTTGGTTCCACCATAATCTTGCATCCATACCAGGCTCCTTGGAAAGGATAGATCTGTGAACATGATGCCAATTTTGAAGGCCCAGAGAATAGAACATGAAGAATATTGACAGTTCATTTTGATTCATCTGACATTTGGTGTATTCCTTTTATACCAGGCACAGTGCCTCCAAAAGAGAAGACATAGTCTTTGCTCCTGACGAGCTTCCAGTCCATTTGGGCACAGATGGACAAATACCACCAGTGTGTGTGTTGCAACAGTGGTCAGGCCAGGGTGGGGTAGAGTTCTAAGGAAGGACACCTAGACTTCCTGAGGGACATGACCTATGAACTGACTGTTGAAGGAATTTGAAAAGGCACATAAAAGCTAAGCAAAGGCGTAGAGACATGTATGAGACAGCGTAAGAAAAAGAGGGATGAGGAGAGAGATAAAGCTAGAGAGGCAGGCAGGCTAAGAGAAGGTGAATTTTATTCTGTGAGTGAATGGTCCACATAGCCTGTTATCCCTTAGAACCTGAGTTAGGCACCAAGACCTCTGGGACTAGACCTTGATTCCGCTTATGTTGGAAATTAGAGGATTTCACATGCTTCTTGAAAGTGGCCAGAGGACCACAGTAAACACGAGTGTTGGAGTAGAATCCCACCATGGCTTGCTTCCTGCTTTGTATTTTTCCTGGCGTGGATAACCCAGTGTTGCTTACAGGGAGGTAAGAGGGCAGGATTTTTTTTTTTTTAAGTAGTTGTAGATGAATGAATGTTGGATGTGTTTGAATAAAGGCCCTAATGATTTACAGGGTGATTATGTTTGATTTCAGGAATGCAAGAAAGGACTACATTACTGCCAAGTATATTGAGAGGAAATACGCGAGGAAAAAGCACACGGATAATGCTACAAAACTTCACAGCCTTTGTGAGGCCGTCAAAACAAGGGATATTTTTGGTTTACTTCAAGCTTATGCGGATGGTGTTGATCTTACAGAAAAAATCCCATTGGCCAATGGACATGTAAGATTATGGGTTGCTACTTAAAAAAGAAAAGAGAAAAGTGGCAGGCCAGTATAGTCAGAAATGCTAACCAAAATAATGGTAAGAAGGTGGCATTAAAATTTATGAGAAGAAATTGGTGGTGTGTTCTTAAACCAAAAAATAAATACCAGCTCTGGAAGGAAGGTCATCCCTTGGGAGAAGGAGAAAGTGTCCTTTCAGAAGCCCAGGTAACCTAGAGGAGGTTTAGCATATCACTTTACACTTTGAAGGGCTGGACTAGAAACAAGAGCTTTGAGGGGGGTTGGTGCACAGTTCCTATAGCCTGCACCCCCACCCCTCTTTCTTGATATAATTGGAGCAGAAGAGATATACCCCAATTTCCTGAGAGAAATTTCTTGAGAGGTGGGCATTACGTCTTAGGATTGGGTCGTCAATAAACTACCAACATCAAAGGAGTTAGTGTGTCTCTTATTTTCTTCCACAAATGCTTTGTGGGTATTCACTCACAGTCCCAGCAGCTTTGGGATACCCAGAAACTTGAACCTCAGAGTACAGGTACACAGGATTGAGAAACACAACATTGTCAGCTGTTGTTGTTGTTGTTAAGTGCCATCGAGTCATTTCCAACTCATAGCAACCCCATGCACAGCAGAACGAAACACTGCCCGATCCCGCGCCAGCCCCACAATCCCTGCTATACTTGATCCCATCATCGCAGCCACCGTATC